GGAGCTGGCTCGGAGCTCGTCTGCCTGGCTGTGTGTTTCCTGGACGGGGCCGCCTGTGGAGCTGGTTTACAGTTGCCTTTTGTATCTATGCTTCTTTTTCTATGTCTGCTTCTGTCTCCTCGAACCCCAGTGGGCCTCAGCAGATGGCCGCTCACACTGAGCCTGGTTCTGCTGGAGGTTCCTTCCCGTTAAAAGGGAGTTTTTCCTCTCCACTGTCGCTACAAGCATGCTTAGTTTGAGGGATTGCTGAAGAGTCAATGAGTCGATGCAATCAGCTGGTTTTGGTTAGATAGAAAACTCTGAATCAGTTTGAGTCTATGATCTGGTTGACTTGTAAAGTGCCTGGAGATGACGTGTTGTGAATTTGCACCATATAAATAAACTCAATTGAATTGAATTAATACATTTATAATAAATTACTACAGATGAGCGCACATTGATGTTAGATCACAGCATTATAAAAGAAGTAACAAAGTGGCACAGTCAGCCAGACACTTATAGACACTAATTAACGATACAAATAAAATGAGGAGGCACCCTATAAAATGATGCATCTGTGAGAACAGCTTTTTCATACTTCATCTTTTCCTGCTGACAGATGCACTTCTCTTGTGATGCCATCTCCATCTGCTTTGCAGCTGTAGCGCAAATTTGTTTTTTTGTTAAAACCTCTAAATCCAGTTGTGTTAAATATGCACTTCCTGTTTTCATGGTAATTTGCGAATCTGTACTCCACGTATAATGGCTTTTCATACTTGTTATGCACATGCTCTTAGTGGACCTACTCAGAGTTGATTAAACTGACTCACAGCAGCTGTTGTCAAAGTAAAAACTCAGAGTTTCCAGCCCTAGTTGAGGATTTAAACTGAGTTTGTTAAACCTGCTTTGTGAAACAGAACCCAGTTTTATGCAAAGTTGATGACACTCCTGGACAAAAGTGTGCTGAGTATTAGTATTTTTTTGCATGTGCATCAGAGTCACAGTTAACACTGGAGTCAGATGCAGGCGACATCTTAAAAGAAGTGTAAAAAACATTGCAATAAAAAGTAAGATTTCAGGAAAATTTGGAATTGAGCATTGCAGTGGGAAGAAGTGGGACAGGAGACCCCTTACAGAGGGGATCATTTTCATTAATTACAAACCGGTGAAAAAGAATCAGAGCACAAACAATAAACTCTTTATTTTCATATATATCATTAAAAATGATAAGGTAATAATTTAACATTAACTTCTTTTACCTTGCCTCTTCTTTGTAATCGTATTTTTTTGTAAGTTTCCAGCTTCAAAGCGACAAGTTCTATAAAGACTAATATTTTTTTCTCCTTCTTGAATGCAACGTGGAAAATACTTCCACAAAACAGATTATAAAACATGCATCAGGTGTTTGTTGAAACTTGTTTCCAATTAAACTTCAGATTAAAATAAAAGTATTGCATGTCCTCTTTTCGTTGTCTTTCAAGTCATGAGGAGGCTTGAAAATGCAAGAAAGTTTTTTATTTTGAGTAAATACAGTTGCTGTTCTTGAAGTATATTAACCTGCCGTTTTATAATGTAGCCCTAGGTATTAGTCTTAAACACAAATAGTACATCAGCCCGTCACATGGCAGCAATTCAACGCCTTTGGGCAGGCATGTCCAAAGCGTGTCATCGAAGGCCGCCCTCCAGGGTGCACTGAAGCGGTGATGTGTGTACGTCTAAATGTGTTGGTTAGAAAGCGAGCTGCATTTTGCACAAGTTGACGGCATGATATAGATGTCTGATACAGACAAACATAAAGATTATTACAATAGTCCAATCTTGAACTAATAAAAGCAGGAAAGGCCTTTTATAGGGCATGCCAGCTCAAAAAAATGCTTAACTCTAACCAGCGGGCGGAGCTTGAAGAAGCAAATTTTTAAGAACATGACTCATTTGCTGATCAAATTTCATGCTTCGTTCAAAAGTAACCCCCAAGCTTTTGACAGCCGATATAGTGTAAGATGCCAAAGCTCCCAGACTCAGAGCTTTAAGTAGAACATTGCATGCTTGGAAGCTAACCAAAACATGTGTTAACTCACTAGAGAAAGGTATGGCTCATGGATCTTGATTTAAACTGTCAAATGTAGATAGAAGAGATTCCAAGTTTACATAAAAAGCATGAAAAAAAAACTGCCTTCCAGCACAGGCAGAAAATGTGCACATGCTTTCATTCTCAGCTATTACACCCACTATAACATGAACATTCTTTGCAGAGTAGCTCAATACTTACTAACACAGGATTCCCGCGGGTCCTTAAAAAGTCTTAAAAGGCATTGAATTCTTCAAAATAAAACTAAGGCCTTAATTGATATTAAAATGTCTTACATCAGTCTTTCGTAGGTCTTAATTTTTAAAACATCATAAATAGGATTATTTTTATTACGATTTATTTTTGGAATCTAAATAAAACATTAAAATTGACCTTTTTTTTATTTAAAAAAATAACGGCTCGTCATTATTGGTTCCGTCCCGATAGCGGAACCAATAAAGCGTTGTTGTGGCCGGGACATTTGGGAGATGCGCCATGAACTTTTTGTCTGGAAAATATGAGCAAGTGTAAATGTAACTAAAATTGTCTCCAGCCAAGAGTTTTCTCCATGGCTAAAACCAGGGAACATACATGAGGCTCAGTGGATTTAGTGCAAGACGCGATTCAAGCTCAGAATGATGGGAATTAAAGGAATAGTACACCCAAAACATGATTAGCCTTCATTTTCTACTCACCCCCATGCTGAACAACACTCTGGAGTACTGTTTTGATATCTCAAATGCATCTGGAGATCTGGGAGGCTTCTTGCTGTCTGCTGACATTCAAATAATGGAGGTCTATGGTGCCCGAGACAGAAAGGTCCATAAAAGTCCACAGAAAACGTGTCAATATTCCTCCATACTGCTCGTCCAATGTATTCCAAGTGTCCTGAGTAGGTAGCGTCCAGAATTTACTCGAAACGAAGTCATTTAGAATGTTTTTAGAGCATAAACAGTAGTGTATAGGATTTCCTAAAAGCGCGTTCACGAGTCTACGGAAACCGCGGCAGACCAAACCAGATGAAAGTGCGCATTCAGCTCGTCAAAGAACTCATGCTCTTCCTCAACACTGAAGTCCTCAGACATTTTTCTTTCGTTGTTTCTTTCTTTGCACAGGTAAACAGCACATTTCTTCTTCTACGCTTGCATTATCGGAAGAGCAGATGCTGAATGCGCACTTTCATCTGGTTTGGTCTGCCGCGGTTTCCGTAGACTCGTGAACTCGCTTTTAGGAAATCCTATACACTACTGTTTATGCTCTAAAAACATTCTAAATGACTTCATTTCGAGTAAATTCTGGACGCTACCCACTCAGGACACTTGGAATACATTGGACGAGCAGTATGGAGGAATATTGACACGTTTTCTGTGGACTTTTATGGACCTTTCTGCCTCGGGCACCATAGTCCTCCATTATTTGAATGTCAGCAGACAGCAAGAAGCCTCCCAGATCTCCAGATGCATTTGAGATATCAAAAAAGTACTCCAGAGTGTTGTTCAGCATGGGGGTGAGTAGAAAATGAAGGCTAATCATGTTTTGGGTGTACTATTCCTTTAAGGCAGTGGAGTCGCACATGCGAAGCACGAAACACGCCTCCACTTATCACCAAATCAAACATATTAAGAAAACCATACAAAGAAAAATAGCTGCAAAAAAGACTTAGCACTGGTTATGTTGTGGCTTTGAAACTGATTTGTTTTGTTCCCTGCTAAAACAAAGTTTGTGAATTAAGTTAAATAATTGTTAAAATATATCTGTCATTTGTGTGTTTTTAGCTTTCTTCCTGTATGGGAAGCTTTTCAAAATTTGAAACATTAGTGCAGTAGTTTATGTTAAAATAAACCTTTGGGTTAAGTTGCCGCAAGCAGGTTTTTCTTGTGTTTCTTGTGAATTTGGTCTTAAATTTTTATTTCAAGTGGCATTAAAAAGTCTTAAAAAGTCTTGAATTTAACTTGCCTTATGCTGTAGGAACCTGTAACAAGTTTTATAGATTTTGTAACACAGGGACACCTCTTAAAGATCAGAGCCATTAACGTTTTATCCATAAAAAGATATTTTTCATAATGCCGCCTTGCTAATGTTTTCAAAGCTTCAAAGATTTATTGTCTTACTGGATTTCCTGTAGCTGTCCAGAGTGGACCCAGCCTCCTGCCCGTTGACAGCTGGAGATATATGTACCAGCACTCCTCGGGGTCCCAGTCCTGCACTGCAAAAAAAGGAAATCTAAATAAGTCATTTTTGCTCAAATTAAGTGCATTTTTTCTTGAATTGAGGAGGTAAGTGCGAAGTTTTGCCAATGGAACAAGACAATTTACATTTAAAATAAGAAAAAAAGAATCGCTTTGTCTTATTTCAAGCGTATATTATCTAATTATCTTATTTTAGGTGTAAAGATACTAATTCCATTGGCAGATCATCTTATTTACCTGCTCAAATTAAGGGTAAATACACTTAAATTAAGACATTTTTTACTTATTTCTAGATGTTTTTTGCAGTGTGATAAGCATGACAGAAAATGGAGGGAAGGATGGATTTGTCTAACTTGCACTAAAGTATTACTGTATGCATTGAAATTGACTGGAAATGTTTGGCGGTTTAAATATTTCAAAACTTATCAAATACATTCAACTATACTTCGAAATGTAGATCAATGTGGCTGTAACTGGGTGAGAGAAGGGGTGTGGCCTCAACATTGAGACACAGTAGACAACAACCATGAAGCATACTTGAAGCTCATTTAATATGTCAACCCCTTCTGTACCAACATATTTCAGCAAAGCAACCTATCCATCAAAAATGTTCAAACTCCTCACAGAAAACCCTTGAACAAAGGACATCCTTGCTCAGAGGCATTGGTATTGTTCCTCAGTGTTTGATTTGCACGAGCAGCATATTGAATTTGCTTTTTCTCTAATTATTTGTGAAACTAAGTGGAATGTGTCTTTTGTTTCAGACCATACCAGTGGCTCAAGGAACAACGTCTCTTCCTCAGATGGAGCTCCCTGACACAGGGCTGGCTTACCCCTTATGGGCACAGCCTCTCACCGCCATATCTGCCATGCCCAATCCAGGAGTCCAGTTTGCCCCAGGTTCTGCAGCTCTGCCTGGATCCTCTTTGGTCCACATGCCTTTACCCATGTCTTTGACCACCATGATCCCTCAGCCAGAGACCCAGGAGGTGGATCCTCACCCTCAGATTTTGGACATCCCAGAGCACTCACAGCATGATCTGGACCAAGAACCCCAAGATCACTCTCTGCATGAGGATCCTGAAGTGGAACCAGAATCCCCTAACTTGCTGGATAAGCTTCTGGAGGATCAGAGGGAGCATACTGAAGAGGGAGACAAAGATTCGTACTCCAGCTCTCTGTTCTTGCCTAATGTCTAAAGATACAACTGTTCAATCCTGTGAAACCAAAATTATGTCATTTTTTAAATTCCCATATTTGGTCAAGTGATAAATGAGTTTTTGCATCCTATTAATATTTGCCACAGTAAAAATAGCATATGTCAAAATAGTTTATTGTTAATTGCTGTAGTTGTGGCTGTTTTTAACAAGATCATGTCAAACATGGAAACATCCCACAATTGTCTAGATGTCTGTTTGCAAAATGTTTATCTAATGTATAAGTGTGATGTAAGAGAAGAATGATAAATTTTTTAAAATATATTTTTTAAATGAAAATCTGGCATAGTAATGTGAATTTATATTCAGCCCCCTTTACATTTATATCCAGTGGCCAATAGAGTGAGCTATGACGCCGCCCCACCCACCTCATGACCATCAGTAAGACATCAAAAAAAGCAAAAATTTAAATTTAATTATAAAACTGTCATGATTTTATTCAAAGATCTGACCCACATGCAGAAAACCAAACAGAGAGACAAGAGGAAGGTTTAACAAGTTTATTGAGAACTGGTAGAGATGGGTCCAGTGCTGGTCTGAACACTGGTGAACCGGGACTGAAAAGTGAAGGGGAAGTTCCTGTGGTTAGTTCAGGCTAAGTGGGAAATTTGAGATTAGATTTGCAAAAGGGAATAAAGGCAACAGGACTCACGTTTCCAGAAAAGGTGTCTTTCTCTGAATCCAGTCGGTGTGGGTTGTTCCAGTAATTGACTTGTCTGTTGGAGGGCGGACAGTTTTTACCCAGGTTGAGGTGTTTCCTTGAGGAACGGAGGAGCTGACTGCCGTTTAGATTTCCTATGGTACTTGAACTGTTTCTTGTGGAGATGAAACCCCTGCTCAGTGTGAAGCTCAAACAATCCTTTAGGGAAAAGTAAATCCAAACCTCCTGTTTGAATCCCCAGCTCAGTTTGAAGCTCAGGCGATCCTTCCAGGGGGAGAAGGTCCAAAACATCCAGTTTGCAGGATGACTTCCTGCTGAGAGGCAAAGACAAAAAACAACGAGGTTAAGACTCAGGTTGACAAGAACTCAGTTTGACTCAGCAAAAATCAGCTTGGCTAGAGTACCCAAAACTGGCAAACCCTCTGGTGTCGAGGTAGTGGCAGTCAGCAGCTTAAGAGTCCTCAGGTAATGAGGCAACCATCCGCAGGTGTGTGAGAAGGCCAACGAGAACCAGGCGCCATCTGGTGGTGGATGAAGATTACACAAAAACACAACCCACACAAACTGGATTCCTTACAAAAACGTAAATATTTTGAAAAATACTGATACATATTTTTTAGATTTGCAAGATAAATATTTAATCTTAAATACTGAATAAAGCTGTTTTCATTTGTCGTCGGATTGGTAAAGCGTTTCTGCCCTAGGGCACAAAAATCTTTGCACATTTACTTTCGTTTCAAGTTGTACATGCGCAGTAGCTCCTCTGCAATACAGAAGTATAGGACTATAGGTGGCAGAGACTGTCATCACAGTCGTAGTGGCCGTGTATAATTTTTATGGTAGTGTCACTGATTGACAGTTTAAAGTAGTCACGGAAGTGAAATCCCTTGAACCAAGTTTAAAGTGGTGTTGAAAGCATTTGGACCTGATCAGATGAACATCAAATTAATCAGCAGTCCAAAGACAGATGGAGACTGTACACTTAGTCTTTTTCCAGGACCTGGTTTAGCTACAAGGCTTGGCTAACTGCATGCAGCAAGGCTAATGCTTTAAGCCGGGTGTACACTGTGCGATTTTTTTCACTTATTGCACACAGCTACTGCTCACACTGTACGTCTAACCGCAGGGTTTAGTCGTATAGCGTGAGTTCACAGCTCACGATATATATTAGGCCCGACACTCTGATGCGGTCTACCTATTCACACTGCAAGACTAAAAACCACGTCGGACTCAGCCCTGCAGTGAGATGGCGCTACTCGGACTCGTCTATCCAGAAGCCAAACAAGTAGAAGGGGAATATTAAGCTCACTATAGTGAACTGTGCTGCCAAAATTTGTGCTATTTTGTGCTGAACGTCCTAAAAAGAAAAGGCGACGACGTATTTGGAAAAAAGGACATTGCTGAGCAAACGTGGCTTCAACTGTCTGTCAGCTTTACAGACAGAACTGCATTTCACTCATTGCACCCCCGCCATGCTTCTGTGTTTACATCTGAGAGGAAGAATAGAAAGACAAATCCTTGTTTGCGCACTGAGCGATTTGCCCACGACGGTCAGGAGAACATCAAACATGTTTGATGTTCTCCCGAACTCACGATTCCTGATCCGGAGGTGGTCGTGAGAGGCTGATCGCCCCTCGTTACCCTCTGTGCACTACACGACTTACGATGCACGATCAGGCTGAAAGACGGCCTGATCAAAAGATTCTCTCACAACTGGAAAATCGCCCTGAAAATCGTACAGTTTACGCCTGGCTTTATCCGGCTTTCCCTGCCTCCTTTTCCAAACGTCAGGATCTGACCCAGCATGTATAAAGACAGGTAGGACTGATTTAAAGCATGTTTTAGAAAATGCAAAGAAGAACGAACAATCTGGAATTCACATGGAAAATAATATAATATAGTGTAGTTTTTCTAGATAAAATCCAGAGCACTTATCTGCCCAGGAGATCTTTGAGCACGCCATTTCACTTTTCTTTGACCAGTTCACCGCAGTTCTTCCAGCAGTCCACACTTCCTCTGCTCTCTTTTTCTCATGGTCTTCTCCTTCTTTCCCATCGCCCGGCTTGCCACAGGTTTTCCTGCTGTGTCTAAAAGTAGCAGCAGCAGCAACCCAAACTGACAGCTCTTTGGATAATCTGGATCAGGTGCAGCCTGGAGCCGGACGCTCCGGAGGGCTTTACCATATTAACAGGAGTGAAGTTAGACACTGTGGTCAGACAACATGCTGTAATTTATAAATGTTTTACATCATCGGTCCTGATCATCCAGCAGGTTTGTCCAGATTCACTAATATGAGACCTCTGCTTTACAGTATTGAAAAAAAAATGCTTTGGACTTACTTCTGCACCACTGGAGTTTCAGAGTTGCATGGAAGAGTGTTTGTTTTCCTTGTGACATTAGCTGACCATGCCACAATGACAATTTGGTTCACACCACATCCTTTAAGAAGCACCTTAAACATGTAATAGCAGTAATACTAAGATCTTACTGCTTAACAAGCGACAAATTCTAAGCCTAACGTCTGATTTTTGGGCAGGGTGGTGTCAAACGATGAGCCTTACGTGGAACCAAGTTTTCCTGTGTTGTCACTTAGAGAAAAACACTCCAGCACAGTGAGGGAGAAGAGACAGATTTGGGTTTTTCAAGGTCTTACATTCAAAAACATCTCACATGTTGCAAAGCCTTTGTACTGTACGAACTTTTATTACCTAGATTCTCTAAAATCCTTTATTGACTGAAAGCAACAGAAATACTTAAGCGGAGGGCAGACCAAACACAACGGGGGACAGTTATTTTTATAGTTGACAAACTGTCAAATCCTAATTTCAATTACCCAGACCTAAACCATTTGTCCTACATTCTGATGCTTCTGAATTAGTGTTAGGAGCAGTGCCTTATTAATCCAGAAAAGTTAAGGGTTATTAGCCTGGGTGCCATTCCGAACTTAGTCCCGCCCAAAAGGTTTGAGGTCGGGAAGTTCGGTCTGGCTCTGCTCCATAGTAGCGCGAGTATGATCGCCCACCCTCTGGCGATCCAATCAAATTGTCAGGGCGGGCTTTATACGATGATGGACAGATGATCAACAGTAACGTAATCAACCACGTGACCAAAGCGCGCTTGGGCGACAACAACAATGGCTGCCGCCGGAGAGTTTAGGTGAGTAGATTCTGCTATTAGGTCTGTTCTAGAAGATATCGACAGCAAATTAATTTTAAAAGAGGAACAGAGAAACGCGATCAAGGCTCATCTTCTTATTCAAGGCGCGCAACTGCACGCTTTGATTTTTGTTGACAACAACTATGCCTGGCTTAACATACGTCACACACTCCGTTGCTCAGATTGGTTGTAGGTCTATCCAATTGAGTGCAGAGGCATTTTTTTCCTGGTCCTTTCAAAACACGCCCCATAATCACAGCTCTATGGAGCAGCATCAGACTCATATTCTGACTAGAATTGAGCAGAACTACGTCAGGCTAAAGGGTTATAGCCTATGGTGGAAGAAAATTTAACCCCATCAGAGAGAAAAAATATATGGATGTTAGGGGTCTCTGAGGTTTTGCAGTGTTTTTGGTGTGAGTGAGATTCCGTCACAGAGAGGATCTTTGCTGGTGGCTATGTGCATATTAGGAGGCGAAGGATCATCTATCTTCTCTGGGTGATTACCCCAACAGTATTCCAGGTAAAACCCAATCCAGGGATATCTTCCTTGTTGCAATTTGTCTTCTTGTGAATCTTTTTTAATGTGAACTCTGCTATTGTTCCAGAAAACCAGTGAACCTCAATTCGTCTCCGATCTTCATGGAAAAGGTTGTACATGTGTGCAGCAGTTCCAGGACTTGATCACCTGGCTGCCCGCTCTCCAGCACGGCATCTCTTTCAAGTACAAACACGCTCAGATCTCGGTCACATCACCCGTTTCGCACCAGTTTCAAAGATCAATAATTAAATGGCTGTTATTAGCGGTTATGAGTCCCAAAGAATGGGACTATGCTATGCAATACTATGCTTTAGCAAAGCTGATTATGATGATTGCGGTTGAGCAAAAGCCTTTTAAACAGCTTTCGATTAAAATCAGCTGTGTTGGAGCAGCAAAACCTCGAGGACCGACTTTGGGGATGCCTGTTCTAGTAGGTTTCTTATGGCAGATAATATTCAGCTAATTGTTGATAATAGTCACTTGGGCCACATCTTAAACCTTATGTTTCACTTTGTATTTACATACTTTATACTTTTTATCTACTTTATTCCACATGTTTCAGTCACACAAATTTAATGCGGTGTTTAAAAACAACTCAGTTGACAGAGTACAATTTTTTTTTTTTTAGGAGTTTTTTTTATATGACTGGCATGCCGAACTACTAAAATTATGTTCAGATTACACATAAATACATTAAATTTATTCCGTGAGTAAAACAGTTTGGGTTAGGATAATGATTCTTTTGGTGATAACAACCTCCTAAGCCTAGTGCTAGGCAGGAGGCACAATCTGAAGCCATTCTATGGGACTGATAACCACCAATAACGGCCATTTATTGGGGTGATAACACCTGAAGCGGCTGCTAACATTCTCCTGGACCTCTGGGATACAGTCTGCAAGGCCCGCTGAATCAAACCAATCCACCGAA